ATTTAATATTTGCAAACTAATTCAAAAGAGAATCACCTCATTATAATTCTACTAAGGATGAACACCTCCCTGGAATCTCATTAGGGATGAACACCTCATTTGAACAAATCAAAGGATGAAAAAAAAACTCATTTTCCACCAATACATAAAGGATGAACATCTTCCTAAAATCACACTAGGGATGAAACAGAGATAGTTCTGAGTCTCTTTAGCATATCGCTCTAAACCCTAAAAGGGAATTAAACAAGAATCACTCGCGACTCTAATTTAACATCAAATTTTCCTTAAATTCCTAGGGGATAGAGGCAATAAAATAATAACGACCAAACATGTGGAAACATTCATCATTTACCTAAGATTCTCTCGTGTTGGGAACTCCACAAACACCACCCCCAATTCCAAACTCATAAAATTAAATAAAAACAAAAGATTCAAAAAAGAACAGAGAACGCAATACAAGAAAAATTGAAATATGAAACACTGTTTCTTTCTCAAGAAAACTTGAAACTTAAACTGAAACAAAAGTGAAAAACGAAGAAGAAGAAGAATCCATAGCTTCCTCCACTGCTCCATCAGCAAGCGTGAATCAGATTGGGGATGTTACCCCCAAATTTAAATTTTAGGGTTCACAAAAATTAGAGATTATCCTCCACTTAGGGTTCATAAAATTGGGTAATCCGAATTGTTTAAAACAAAATTAATCCTAATTTTCATAATTAGGGTTCTATAAATTAAACAGACATGAATCAAATATGGGCGGCTCGATACCAATTGTTGGAAAAACAATAACAATAATAATAATCCCGATTTTGATTCTAACGATCAAACATAAACATAATCCCATACTCGATAAACATGCTATAAACCGAATGCGAAAGCGTACTCGAATTAATCATAATGATGATGTCTTTGTAGAAGCACTCGTATTGATCTTATGGTCTTCCACCGAAGAGCACCTGTATTTCCCTCTTGATTTTCTCTCTTGATGGGGATAGAAAGAAAGGAACAGGACCGATACTTACGTCTCGTCTACGTGCTCTCGAAGGGGACCATGACCCTTTAGATAACCGGAATTAGGTTAATTACTTAAGTTTTAGTATTTCCAATTTGGCCCCTCATCAAATTAGAAATTGCTCTATGGTCTCTACACAATTTTATTTTCATGACATATGCTTTTAGCCAAAACTTTAATTTAGTTAGATCACTTTATTATTTGGCTTAATAAATAATGACCCTAACACATTTAAATATGTATCATATATATACATGACCCAAAATTTTCCAACACCAATCTAAAACTTTTTATAATAATAATAAATAATAATAATAATAATAATAATAATAATAATAATAATAATTCTATCAAACGAGAATCTCATGTCTATAATGATAATATCGTTAGAATTAAATTTTATATTTGAAGTATTGTCTATTTTAAAATTCTTATTCATCACGATTTTATCATTATAAGACACATAGAAATATTAAGAAAAAAAAATATATATATATATATATATATAAATAATTTTTTATTTTGACTCTTATGTGATATCGGACTTGTGAGCTGTACGGAACAATAATAATTTTTATAATTATTATTAAAATTCGGCGTAAGATAGATGTTTGATAAAAATGAATTATTTATATATTACTTTACATAAATAAATAATAATTTTTTTCTTCTATTAAATATATTATATGATTTTGAGAGAAAGGAGTTATTTATATATTATTTTTCATTAAAAAATTATACTGCTAAGTAAATTATGTCCGATGAAGAAGGAAACCTTGATACGTTTGTAAGGAAAATTTTTAAACAGTAATTTACTTTTATAAAATTTGAATTGTTTTATAATAAAATAATGGATAAAAATTAAAAAAAATTATAACTCAAAATTAAATAATTCAAGATTTTCCTAATATCCTTTTGTTAGGATCGAGCGCTTACCACTAGGCCAAAAGCTATAGCCATTAGTCAGAGCGCAACTCTTTTTACTTTAACAGCCCAAGCGCCACGATTCAATTGTGACTCGGCCCACCTGACCTTCGTCACAGGACAATTGATGCTACCTGCAACAATCTCCCCCTCAGCAATTGTCCTACAAGGTATCCCACTCTTGGATTGTGACTTGGCCCACCCGGCCTCTGCCACGGGACAATTGTGCAACCTGCAACAATCTCCCCCTCAATAATTGCCCACCTGACCTTCGTCACAGGACAATTGATGCTACCTGCAACACCTTTTTCATATTTGTGTTTTTTTTTTCATACTTCTTCATCTACTTTATTGAAAATGAGAGATTGTCTACTCAAAACATTATCTCTTGATATTTTCCGATTACATCATGTAAAGTTATTTTTCAACCAACATTACTTACGATTTTATTGATCAATTAATAAAGTTATTTTTAATCAATATTAGACATCTTTTTTTATCATCAATAATGATAAGTTAGAATTGTTTACGTGAACTTAAAGATTTTTTAGATGTGGATGAAAATATTTTTAACCGAGGTAGATGAAGATTATTTAATGATTAAAGTTATTCAGAATTTTTCTTCTACCAATGTTACATCCAACGCATAAGGTAAATTAGGTCAATTTCCTTTATCTGTTTAAAAAATGGATAAATTTTTAAAAAATTTTAAATATGGATAAGTTGTGTTTTGATATATGATTTGATCGTGAATGAGAAGACAACTTTGACTGAATGTACATGTGTTTTTTTTTTAAGTTGTATTCCAATTAAAGACTAGTAAAACAAAAAATTTAAAGTGAGATGACCAATTGATTGATAATTTTAATTTAATTTTTTTTATATTAAAGTTGACAATTAATTGACAATTTTAGTTTAGTTATTTAAAATAAAATTTATCAATTTATTAATGACTTTAGTTCATATATTTTTAAATTAAATTTTATTTTAAAAGTTTTATTTAATTAAAAATTTAATAAAATAAATAAATAATTATTATTTAGACGTCTATAATATTAAATAATTTTTAAATATATTAAATTGTTAAAAAGAAGATATGAATTTATCAATGAAAAGAATATACATATATTATATAAGAAAATGAAATTTTATATTTTCATTGTCGAAATGAATAATTACCACTATATTCATTTCGATAAAATAAATATTTTTTTGGCTTATTTGGAATATGTTCATTCATCTCATTTTGAATGTAATTTATTGTTGGTCTTCTTTATTATTGTCGATGTAGATTTGGATTAGGAACAAATTTTGGATCAAATAAGGAGATAATCATCTTCCTTCCAAACAAGATGAAACTACACCTCAAAAGCCTTGTAAATAATTTGTTGTTTGTACGTCAGGTCAACATGTGTCGATGTGTAAGTGACAATATGAATATACAATAATAACATAAGAGCAAAGAAGTCGGAGAGATTAAAACTTTCTACAATCACACCACCAGTCATTTAATTTGACTGTATAGTTTACGGACGACCCGACATTGGGAATTTGATACCTCTTAGACATCAAACTCAAAAATTTCTCAACTGTAGTTTTGAACAATACACTTCACTGCAAATCATTCATGTTCTCTGAGCAATTTAGTAATCTCATTTGGATAATGATGTCCTGCTCGTAACATGCACTCTACTTTGGTACCCCGTTTAACAAATCACTCCCCATCGTATGCCTGAGTCCACTTTTCTAAAGAAATTTCATCTAACCAAGAGATTGCCTAACAAAACTCAGATATCGTAGCATTCAATTTAACTATTTATAGGGGCTATTGCATTTCATTTCAATTCACGAAAGTTCTTCAATCTTGAGCTTGTTAAACTTGTGATCCTTTCTTTGCTTATTTCTTTATGAATCTTCATCTTGTGAGTCTTTCTTTACTTTTAAAAATGGCAGACAATAGTCATCTTCCACCAAATATATCTTTATTACGCTTTTAAGATAAACATGTTACGTAAAGCTCTAAAAATAATTTAAAATATATGAACTAAAGTTGTAAATCAATTGACGACTTCATTATCTAAAAAATATATTTCAACTAAAATCGTCATTTAAAAGATAATTTTAATAAAAAAATTATTGAAATTATGTATTTAAATACTAGTTCTGAAAAAAAAAAGATGTTATATATATATATATATATATATATATATATATATATATATATATATATATATATATATATATATATATATATATAATTTTTATTTGAAGAAGTTAAAATAGTCTCTCCGACGGACTTATTCATATGAAAACATATCTAAATACACTACTTACCCATAAACGGAATCTTTAAAAAATTTATCCACGAAAATTGGTCCAACGCATAATCCGCCCAAAATAAAAGATCAACATGACCTTGGTCACCTGCAAATTTACATCCAACACCAAAAAAAGACATTTAAATCAGCAAAAACTGATCTAAGGGAATGAGCACGTAACAATGGAAACAAATATGGAAGCATTTGGATATTACATTACAAACACAGGATATAGGGGATGCTTTTGCTATTTCTTTACAAAAACATATTAGTGGAATATAAATATATTCTAATCATAACCGGATTCTTCTCTTGCCATTTTAAAATTTTGATAACAACATTGAGCCCCTCGTTTATAATTGGAGAGGTTCACCGGCAAAATATTCCAATAAAACAACCAAAATTTAAACAATGCCGATTTGTTTAGTTTGCAGAGCTTGTAAAAAACATGAATAATTAGCAGGCAGATAGTAAATGCTAATACGATTGGTAAGTTGAAACCTTCAAATTTCTAATTTAATAATACCATGGATTTACAATATATAGGAGTTGAACACATTAACTCACTGTTTCATTAACCGAGAGCACAATCCGTAAGCCTATATATAGCTACCAAAGAACAATGTACCCTATATTGGAAAGGTTCTCTGTACATATAGAAAAGAAGTTTTAATCCAAGGAATAGACATTGTTCACCAAGGAACACACAATTGGCATCAATTCCCAGGATCTAGTAAGCTTTAAATTCATTTGAGCTCCTCAAGTGTGACGCTCTGAATTTTGGAATCAGGTGATAGTTTAAACTTGAGAACCTTGTGAAGCTGACACAAGGGTTTCACTTGTTTAGTTGGAGGTTGACTTGAATCAATTAGTCTTGTTCCAGAGAAAAGGTTCACTTCAGATGATCCTGTCTCTTCGTGAACCACAAGGGTATCTGCATAAAAGGATGCTTTATCAAACAACTTATTTTAAGCATCTCAAAGTGGGAAGCAAATGAAATTAAAAATAGTTCCACAGTAGCATGTCTTCCATATAACATGAGTATCATAACAATTTGAAAGGCATGATTACTGAGTGATTAAAGGATAGCTATTCCTTTGCAAAACATGTCTAATTCAACAATTGATTGGCAATAGAGGATCTTCTTCATTGGCTAAATCTTCTACATGTTTATTTAGAGTTTGCTCAAGACTATAACTGCAGAATGGGGGGAGAAGCAACAATGCCGACTTCCAAATATGATGTACAGTTACATGAACTATTACAGAATATAAAATAGTACATAGGAAAACATGATGCCAGATGCAGAGTCAATTAACGAATGCTACTAAACATGCCAACAGAAGTGGCAGTGAGAGATGTGGAATATAAATTAGGAAATTTGTAATCTGTATAGAGTTGAACAATTAGGATCAATCCCATAAATCAAGGGATCCTAGAATAAAATAGAGTAATTATATTTTCTAAAATAGCTTAGGGTGAGAACCTTTTTTAGTAAGCTAGAAAAACCTCCAGGTATGCGCTCTTTGGCATACTCAGGTAAGTTTCCACTTTCTTTTGGATTAAATGTCTCTGATACACCTTTTAACCATTATTGGATATTGGACTCTGGAGCCATAGACCACATGACACCATTAGTCAAACACTTCTCCACATATTCCCCATGTCCCAACAACAAGAAAATTGCCATAGCAAATGGAACCCCCTTATAACTGTAGCTGGTCAAGGAAATATCCAAATCAATCCTTTAATAACCTTAAAAGATGTTCTCCATGTCCCAAAGCTGCCCACCAACCTAGTGTCTATACAAAAACTTATAAAGGATTTGTCATGTAAAGTTATTTTTTTCAACGATCATTGTATATTTCAGGACAAGGATTCGGGGAGGATGATTGGACATGCTAGAGAATAGAATGGCCTTTATTATCTCGAAGATCCAAGTCTGCCCAGCAAGAACAGAATCTCTCACTCCTTCATATCTGAATCCTTGATGACCAACAGAGAAAAAATCATGTTTTATTATTGTCGATTGGGACATCCCTCTTTTGGAGTGATCAAAATTATGTTTCTCTCTCTGTTTACCAAGTTAGATGTTGAGAGTCTTCATTATGAGGTGTGTGAACTTGCTAAGCACAAGCGTGTATCTTTTCCAATAAGTAATAGAATTAGCAATTTTCCTTTTTATCTTGTTCATACTGATGTATGGGAACCTTCTAATGTTCCAAATGTGTCTGATGCTCGATTGTTTGTCACCTTTATAGATGATTGTACAAGGGTCACTTGGGTTTTCCTACTTAAACAAAAATCAGAAGTCAGTTCTATCTTCCTAAACTTCCACTCCATGATAAAAAATCAGTTTGGTGTTAATATTAAGAAGCTTAGGTCAGATAATGCCAAAGATTACTTCAATTATGTCCTTAACTCTTTTTGTCAAAAAGAAGGTATAATTCATGAGTCCTCTTGTGTCAAAACACCACAGCAGAATGGGGTCGCAGAGAGAAAAAATGGACATCTATTAAATCAGACTCGGGCATTATTGTTCCAAAAAAGTGTCCCAAAAAATTTCTGGGGGAAAGTTGTCCTTACAGCAACATACCTTATCAATAGACTACCCTCTAGAGTCTTAGGATCAAAAAGCCCTATGGAAGCTTTGTCGTCTTTCTATCCAAACCTGTCTACAACAAATAATCTTAAACCAAGAGTTTTTGGGTGCATCTCATATGTCCATATTCATAGTACAGACAGGGGGAAACTTGATCCTAGAGCCTTAAAGTGTGTCTTTGTTGGTTACTCACCCACTCAGCAAGGGTATAAATGCCACCACCCCCGTCCAAAAAATTCTTTGTGTCTAGAGATGTTACCTTCAATGAACAAGAGGGCTATTTCCATCAACCTTATCTTCAAGGGGAGAGTTTTATGGAAGATAAGGAAAGTAGCAATTCTGGTTTTCCCATTCTTCCAGACTTGATATTTGAATCTAAACGAGATCAAATTGAAGCTGCAACAAATGAAACAAGTCAAGGAATTGGTCAAAAAAAGGAAGTTAGTCAAGAAAGTGAAATTAATTGTGAAGTTGATCAAGAAGATGTTGAAGGTGGAAAATTTGGTAAGAAGCTGGTGTACTCAAGGAAGACTAAGGCTATTCCAGGATCAAGCCATGTTCAAGAATCCAACTCGACTCCACAAAAAAGATGTAACAATTTTTTCTCCCGCTGTGCAGGTCGAAATTGAAGCCCAAAATGATCCTAATCTCCCAATTGCCATTAGAAAAGGGACAAGAAAATACATCAAACAACCACTCTACCCTCTCTCAAATTACCTGTCCTTTAAAAATTTCTCTCCTACCCATAAAATCTTCCTAGTAAACCTAAACACTGTACTTCTACCTAACACCCTATCTGAGGCATTGTCTGACAGAAAATGGAGGCAAGCCATGGATGTAGAGATGTAGGCATTGGAGAAGAACAACACCTGGGAGTTAGTCACCTTACCAATAGGAAAGAGACCAGTTGGATGTAAATGGGTCTATACGGTGAAATACAAGGCTGATAGATCAATTGAGAGATATAAGGCAAGACTAGTTGCCAAAGGGTTCACCCAAACCTATGGAGTTGATTATGTGGAGACCTTTGCTCCGGTTGCCAAAATGAACACAGTTAGGGTGATATTGTCCCTTGCTACCAATTATGGTTGGAACTTGGAACAATTTGATGTTAAGAATGCTTTCTTACATGGAGACCTTAAAGAAGAAATTTATATGGAGATACCTCCGGGATATGGTAAAGATGTTGCCAACACTGTTTGCAAGTTGAAAAATGCATTATATTGGCTAAAACAGACATCAAGAACTTCCTTCATACCAGTGATGTTTGCATTATAAATATCCAGGCCATTGATTCACCATTAAACCATACAACAAACATTTGAATATAGTTTACTATGTAGCCAGTACTCCTCCAAAAGGTAAGAATTAACACCATCCGGTAATGCCAGTACCAATTTTTTCCTTTCTAATTTTTCATCATAATCAATGACTATGAATTCCCCATCCGAGAGAATATTCCTTCTTCTTCTTAGAAGATACACATAATGCATCATTAACAGAAAGGAGAAATCAGCAGCACACAAAGAAGAAACACATAAAATAAAAATAACCAATGAAGCAAACATGATGTTCAACGAGTCCACAACTCTAATTGATAACAGGAAAACAGAGAAAGAATTTGAGCAAGCACGAACCCTAGCAGGAGCAGCGCAGAGAACGGGCTTGGAGCATTCCAAGTCGAACAATATCCGCGCATCCTCTGTCTGGTGGACGGAAACCTTCTCCTTCGCGGCCATGAAGAAGCGGTCGCCGGAGACGTCGAACTTGACCAGAGTAGCCTCCTTGTCGAGGAGCAAGCAGCAGTTGCGGCGGCCGCGGACGAGGTTGACGACGGCGAGGCAGTTGTCGCGGGCGACGGTGAGGGCGCGCTCGCCGGAGGGGTGTAGGGCGAGGTCGTTGATGGCGACATTGCGGTGGACGAAGCCATCGGCATCAACGATGGAAACAGAGCCAGCGGCGTCGGCGGAGATGAGGTTGCGAGGGAAGGGGAGGTTGGGAGGGGTGTAGAAGGAAAGGGCGGTGACGGTGACAGAGTGGTGGTGGAGGGAGCCGAGGGAGGAGGCGGCGGAGAGGTCGTAGAGGTGTATGGTGTCGTCCTCGCCACCGGAGGCAACGACGGAGACCGCGACGGTCTTGATGGAGGAGAGGTGGGAAGGGTAGGAGAAGAGAGGGGTTAGAGATTGGGATTGGGGGTTTAGGGTGAGACCCCAGATGAATTTCTCGTACCAAACTCATTCTTTTCCTCTGAAGTAGACATACGCTCTTGTTCCCCTTACTAAAACCCTAGGGTTTTTTTAACCTCTATCTCCTGTCGTCACAACAACCTTGGACTTTTTGAGTTTTGACCCATGGACGAGGGTTTAAGAGCTCTTTCTCTTTAAACTTTTTTCAGAAAAATCTAATTTATAAACAAATTATTATTTTCGTTCTCTACAATTTTATTTTGAACAATAAATTCAAAATAATATCTGAGGATTTGTTCGACTGTAAAAAAACCATAATGGCATCTACCTAAAGAAAGTTATAAGCCTTACCCATCACCATTTATTATACCTGCAATGAAGATAAGAGAAGAGAAATTATGTATAATAATAAAAAAAATTAAAAATCTTGGAAAATTTTAAGATGTTTGAGGACGAATATTCATGAACATTATATTTACATACCTAAAAAATGTTATCCGAAAATCATCTACATCATAAAAAAAATCTTAAAATATTGTATATTTTTAAATAGGTTAAATAACTTTTATGTTCTAGAAAAATATAACTGTTTAACTTTGGTCCTTGTTCTTTTTCGTTTTTTTTTTTTAATATTTATTTATTTTTTGCTTTGTTCCCTCTTATTAGTTTTACTGCCATGATGAGTGGTCAGATGTCATCTCATCAAAATTTTAACACTTTTTATTTAGTGTATGTTTCATAGAACATGTTTTTTTATCCTTCATATGTGATTACTTGCCACGTCATTTCATTGCTATGACTTTCACCTTTTTACTTCCAAGTACCATTATGCAAATATAAATATTTTCTAATTTTCGTTTACATATAATACTATATTTCAATTTACCACTTTCTTTAGTTTGTAACATTCTTCCGTTTCATCATCTCTCTTAGTTTGTAACATTCTTCCATTTCATCATCTCTCTTCAGGGAATCGAGTATATTAAGTCTATTTGATGGTTGCAATGCATTTTATTGTTATTTCATAAAAAGATGTCATGGTTTTGGAATTAGGAAAAATGAGGTTCGTTATGGTACAGTTTTATGCAACAAAGTCGGATTTAGGGACAAGAAATATTCGAGGGTGATAGGAAAAAGGATCATAAAACTCTTACACATACTAATTGTAAATCAAAGTTGCGAGTTAGATAGAAAGAAAGCAATCATTTGAAGAGACTCGTTACCATTTATTGTGTAATTTGCATCGAGGTAGCACTTCCAGTGAGATCACAAAATCATTCCTTCGTGCACGGCACATCACAGTCTTCGTTAAGCCTGGAATTAATTTGGATTGCTCTTGAAATAATGATGGTAGAAACATTTACTACTGCACAAGAGTTTCTGAGAAGTGAAGCATTGTGCATTCGGGCTCAAACAATATTGAAGTTTGAATCTCAGATAAAATATAGGTTCCAACAAGTCTCAAGTCCAATAACATGCACTTCATTGGTCCTTTCTAGTCCCAGGATTCTCTGCTTCCTTTCTAAACTCACTGAGATTATCTCAGGCTGCTCACTTCTCCCTGCTAACAATTCTATACATTTTATCATTGGTCTGACTGTAGAAGTATCTTTACATGTCACGTGTCTATCTTGGGGTGATGGATCCTGTGACTGATTGAGGTAGGGTTTCTGCATCAATCATGCAGTCCAAAGATCACCCCTCATATGCAAGCAAGAATTAAACTCAGTTTGCTTACATTGTAAAAAATTTGCACCCGCTGATGCTCTGGACAGAACCACAATAGGACAAAGCTGATGCTCGCATTAGTTGTTGAGTTAGCTAAACAAAAAAGATGAACATTAGCTTACAACCTTCCATGACACCTGAGATAAACCAGGTGTGTCTTATATGCAGAATCAATCCACCAATTATATCAACAAACTCTACCGGCCAATTTCTATCTAATTTATCATCACGCGGCCTCTCCCATGCTCTTCCCAACAATGTTAAAATCAAAACTAGGAGAACTCTTTTGCTTCTCACTTTCGATCCAGCTCTTGCCAGGCATCTTCTTAACCCCTCTTTCCTCCATCAACCTCCTGATCTCCAGGGCCTCATTCCACCGGCCAACTGCTCTATAAATATTACCAAGCAGAATGTAACTCAGATGGAAGTCAGGCTCCAGCTGAATCATCTTTTTTGCAACACGTTCAGCTGTGATATAATCCGAACACTTGGTGCAAGCTCCAAGCAGAACCGCCCAAAGGGAATGATTATAACTGCAATCAGCACTCTCCAACAAACTCTCAGCCTCCTCTATCAACTCAGCCCTTCCCAGAAGATCAATCATGCAAGTGTAGTGCACCACCCCAGGCCCAATCCCATACTCCCTCCTCATCAAATCAAAATACCTCCTCCCCTGATCAACTAAACCATTATGACTACACGCAAACAGCACATTCACAAAACTGATCCCATCCGGCCTCACCCCTTCCTTCACCATCTCCTCAAACAACTCCACCCCCTCTTGCCCTCTCCCGTTCTGCGCCAACCCTCCAATCATCGAGTTCCAAGTGATCAAATTCCTCACTTCCATCCTCAAAAACAAGCTATATGCAAAATCCACACATCCACATTTCGCATACATATCAACCAAAGCAGACTCCACCACCACATCCCTCCACCCACCCTTCCTCACATACTGGCAATGCACTTCCTTCCCCTGCCTCACCGCAGCCAGCGCCGAACACGCACGAATAACTGTCCCAAAACAATAAACATCCACCACCCCCCATTCCCTAACAAGCCCAAGCACACTTTCACATTCCCCATTGTGACAATAAACCCCAAGCATAGCAGTCCAAGATACCCAATTCCTCCCCACCAACCCAGCAAACACCATCCTCGCACACCCAACCTCCCCGCATTTCCCATACATATCCAACAAACTACTCTCCACAACCACATTTCCACGCATCCCCAAAGTCAAAACCTTCCCATGCACCTCCCTTCCCATCCTCAACCACCCCAAGTTCCCACACGCGTTCAACAGCGTCCCGAAAGTGAAACCATCCACCTCCAACCCCAAACCCCCGTCATGCATAACGGAAAACAACCCAACGGCATCCCTAAACCTGTCGTTACGCGCCAACGTGGAGATAACGGCGGTCCAGCAAACGGGGTCCCGGTGTGGCAATTCGTCAAACACCCTGCGCGCGTCGTCGACCACGCGCGTCCTCCCGTACATGTCGATGAGCGCGCAGGCCACAACATTGTTAGAGTGGAAGCCGCACGTGGCGACAATGGCGTGGAGTGCTCTGCCGAAGGGAAGGTTTTGGAGCTGGGAGGAGGCTTTGAGGAGGGAGGAGAGGGTGAAGGCATTGGGGTGGAGGCCAAGGCGGAGCATTTGGAGGAAGAGATGGAGGGCGTGGGTGGGCTGGGCTTTTCGGACGTAGCCGGAGATGATGGAGGTCCAGGCGATGACGTCTTTGAAGGAAAGCCCGTCGAAGAGGGCGCGGGCCTGGGAGAAGTGGGGCGAGAGTTTGAAGTAGAGGGAGAGGAGACTGTTGGCAAGGAAGCGGTCGGCGAGGAGGCCCAATTTGAGGACGTGGGCGTGGAGGAGAGTGCCATGGAGGAAGGAGTGGGTTTTGGTGCAGGTTTGGAGGAGGGAGGCGTAGAACACGGGCTTCAGAGAGGGGTTGAGGGCTTGAGCTTGGGCTTGGGGGAGAGTGGCGAGTTTGCGGTGGTGGAGGATCTGGGATTGGGCGGAGGTGAGAATGACTTTGACCTTCTTCATGTGCGGTGAGGTGGAACCAAGGAGATGCCCATGCTTTTTTTTACGTGGGGATGTTAGCAGAATTTCGAAACTTCTTTAGTGTGCAGAACTACAATCTAATGCATATAAATAGGAACTAAAAAAATCAATTTAAATTGTATAAGTCCTTTCATATAAATTCTCTAAATTTTTTGTTTTAATTTAGAAAAGCTAATTTTATTATATTAAAATTTTTATTTCATTTTTCTTCTCTTCTAAACGAATCTTAAAAAAAATCATCTAAAGTGATATTTAATATTTATTGAAGCCATAAAAAAAGAGTTACGGTGATACTACACGGCTTTATGATTGAAAAAGACACTAACCAAGACCTCCATGAGACAAAATATGGGATAAATCTTGCACTCTTTTCTTTAATGCTTTATTTTAGATTAAGCAATGAAGAGTGAAATAGTAAAAATTAAAATTTGTTTAGATTAGATAAACAGGAATAAAAAATAAAATAAAATAAATTTGTTTATTATTAATAATTTTATTTATCATTTTATTTTTGCAAAAAAAATTATATAATAAATTAGGTAACATCTGTTTCAAAATATTTACTGTTTAATTTAAAAAATATATTTTTAAATATATCTTATTTATAATATTTAAGATTCTATCAATTACCTTTTATTAATTATATTTTTATTTTTTAATTATATTTATTATAAAGAGAAGATAATAAATAAAATTATCAAAAGTGAATTTAGATAAAAAAAATATTAATGATTATATAAGATAAAAAATAATAATTTTAATCATATATTCTCTCTATTTATAGAGATGGTTAAAATCAAGTTACATAAATTAAATTAAATATTATTTTTAAGAATTTAATAATTTTATTAATATTCTTATTTAATATTTTTCTTCGTCTAAAAAATAATTATTTAAAAACAGTAACTAAACATTTTGATTTTCCAATACTGATCAATGTTTTCAAGTTTGAATACTTAAACAATCCCAATTTTGAAAGAAAAAATTTATTTAACCCTAAATAATAATAAAATATTATTTTAATTCATAAATACTAAATTAGAAAACTAAAATAATTCTTTAAAATTATTTACATTTAAAATTAAAGATTAGCATTTTAAACTATTTTTTAACACCCATATCCTCTTCAAATGTGTGACTTCATTTATTATATAATTATATGTAACTTAGCAATTTTTTGGGCATTGCTTTTTAGCATCATGATAACTATTTTTGTCAAATACTCTTTCTCTACAACTCAGAAAAGTATGAACGTGTCAAGGATATTATACAGGAATTAAAATTAACGGGGACAAGGGGATTAAATCCCATTTCCAAGTAACATATATCTTCTATTAAATTCAGTTAATTTTTTCCCCTATATATATTCAAGCATTTATTTTCAATTTTGAGACATTCTAAGTGCTGTAGTTTCCAAACCATGACTGTGGTTTCCTATGTCTAACCTCTGGAGTAATTTGAATCAAAGAGTGATACAACAAATAATACTCAGGGAGAACATGTTCCCTAAGTTTTAGATGCAAAGGACCAAATTCTTTTCAATGAGTTAATCAATGTTGTATGAGCAGAAAAATGTCCTTCCATGATTCTATCAGCTGCAGGTCCCACTTCATGGACAAATTTGACAGATTCCGAAAGTCGATTGAGAAGGTTCATCAATGCAATTACCTCATTCCTTTGCAGCTGCAGCTGAAAGATCATCAAGTGCAACAAATAAGGTGTTGCTCACTAAACCATAATGTACAGAGAGGAAAAAAAATCAATTCTCAGTTAAAATGTACTTACTGTTTGAATCGAGTTTTCTTGACCATCAACAGAGAAGAGAATCTTTAGTGCAGTTCCAAGACCAAGAACCTGAAGCTTACCCCATAATCGACACTTCTCACATCCTACACAATCCATCAATGCACTGCATTCCACACAAAAAATATTCCATCATTCCATTGCCAATGAGAAATCAAAATCACAATAATAAATGGAGAACAAAACGAGTGGTCACTTCGTTTACAGCCAAAAGTTATTTTCGGATGAGATCAGCACTCAAAAAGTCCACATAAACCCACAACATCCATCAGCATATGTAACTCAGAAGGAGACTGAAATTCCAAAGCATGGAAGATGAAAAGCAAAATCATACTCATCAATGATTTTGGATTAAATCACTGATTCCTTTCACAAATATTGTTTTGTGAGCATTACTATGAACATTAATAATCAATTGTTTTTTCTACATATTTGTTAGTAGTGTGAAGCATGCTTAGTAGAGACTAAGCTACAACAGGCCCTGCAAGTTATAAATGGATAATATTTATTTAGCTAGGCCAGAGTCAAGTCCACTAGTTTTTAGTAATACCTGATGTTTCTAAATTGTTGTTGAATTTTCTGCTTTAGCTCAGGTCCACTTTGGCCTTTCCACAAATTAGCTTCATCAAATGGAATTGGACAAGCAGCTTGAAGCTTGGGGTTATAAAGTAGCTGCTTTATCAAGGACTGTGTCCTCAGGTCCTCATTATAGTTACCTGTATCGTACTCTGCCTGTTCCAGATAATCTGCAGCCTAAAGAAGAATGTGGGTTGCATCAAGAATATTTGTAAAAGAAGGAGAATAAAGAAAGTTTGATCCATTTATACATGCCCAGTTTGTGACCTTAAACCATCACATTTTATACTCACTTTGGTTACTGCTCGCAGCACAAAGAGAAAAGTGAAATACAAATTTCTGACACGATCAGGGTATTTTAGGACTCGATCATACATCAAAGTAAGATTTTGCCCCCACTGGAATAATAAAAGGGAAAAAAAAGAAGTTAGATATTGAAACATTTTACCAAATATGTTAATTCCACAAAAGCAATCAAATATCCCTTTCAAACAGAAAATTAGCTATTGGTGGAAAGAGGATCGTAAGATTTACCAAATTTGTAGCTTCATCAAGTAGATACTCAGCAGCTATATGTATTGATATGGAGGAGTGAAGACCGGATATCAATTTATACAAAATCTTCTCCTCCTGGCATAACTCTTGAGATGGATCTACAGAAGACAATTTTTTTTTGTAATTAACGAACCATAGAACCAGAGAAAAAGGCTCCTCTTTTATAACATTTCAAAGATACCTTTCACTAGAAAAAAAAATGATAAGAACACGACTAATATCCTCTATGGAAACAACACACTATATAATTAAAAAAAAATAAAGCACAAAGATAGAAAGATAGAGGGTAATTATTTACATTCAAAGTTAATGGTCTGTCAATGTTTGAAACATGGAAGGTACCATTAAACAACCTAAAATCCAAGGCCTTTCCAAATTATTAAAGTTTAGTCAAATTATTTAAGTGAATAAGCTTTTCATAGCAAACTTACATTTGGGGCAGTTCTCAGAGTAGACAGAATCCCATATCCTTCTTGCAGACGGACCAGTATAACCAGTATATCTTTCAGGATTCAGTTGAAGATTCACGTATGTCATCTCATCTGCAAATGCAAACAGGGCTATCAATTGACATGCTTATTTTTCAGGGAAAAAGTTGAATATAATCCCATGCTGCCACCTATTAGAAAAAGTTAAAAGCACTTCTACTAGAAGTGAATGCAAACTACACTATTGTCATTCTGCTTCCTGATACTAAAAAACAAGGACTGATGAAGACATCAAACTTGATCATAAATATATCATAGTAGATGAAGACATCAAACAAAACTATTCACAAATATATACTCATTGTCAACTCAGGAATATAAATCTGATGTCAGTCATAATATATTTATGAATCCTAAATTCTATACTTAAATGAAAATATTTCACTTTCACACAATTAATTGGATAAACAACTATGAGAATTAGATATGAACCATTGTCAGTCTCGTCATCATTTGTCCATGGATTGTCTATTTCTGTCCACCCTCTGAAAGCTTTACTGTCTAAAGTACGGTCAACAGCTGCCTGAGGTTTACCTTCTTGACAAACAAGATCATTCATTGAGAAGCGATGGGGCTTCTTAAACGATTCGGGAAACTCACTTTCTGGGCATTCACATACACTACAGTCCCTCAACCGGCACATGCCATCGTCAGGCCAGAAAGGACAGTCACACCATAACTTCACCTATAAAATATTAATAAAAATTGAACTAAATATAAACACTTAACAATAAAGTATCCTTCAGACACTAAATAATTACAGTTTTTTATATTAATATTTTATAGCTAGAATATAATTACAGTATCCTTCAGACACGAAATAAAATATTAATAAAAATTGAACTAATATAAACACTTAACAATAAACTTTTCATTTCCTTCATGAGCTAGAATATAATTACAGTATCTCAATACTCTTGATGAATTTCTGCAAAACATCATGCGTCATGCAAAAGTTACAACATTCAAAAGAATGCAAACTATTTCAGATAACCAATATGTTATGCAGCAGGCCCAATGGAGATTTCAAGCAACCAACGGAGATTTCCTGAGTTTATCAATTTTCAAAGCAAAATGCATGGCAACATGCTCCATCCTAGCATCAACTAGAACTTCCTTCAAGGTGCTAAACATTTTGGCAGGAGGCCGAATGCCCACATCCAACATTTCTTGAAAGTACTTACACGCTTCATCCAACTTACTTTCATGGCACAAGGCACAGATCAACGTGGAGAACATGTGCATTCCAGGAAGAATTCCCTTCTCTTTCATCTCATCCCAAGCTGCCATCGCCATATCCAACCTTTCTTCATTACAAAACATCCTCACCATGATCTCATAGGTGCTCACACTAGGCTCACACCCAAACTTGCCACTCATTCTGCGAAAAACCGAGCAAGCCTCTTCAATCCTACGACCCTTTATAAGATGATGAAGTATAATATCAAAAGTTCGAGAATTTGGACCAACCCCGCATTTTTTCATCTCACCAACCATCCTATACGCATCATCCAGCTGCAATGACCAGCAATAAGCCCCAACAACAGCATTGTAGGTGGGAGCTTCCGGTGCAAAGCCACTAGCCTTAGATACCTCAAAAAACTCGAGAGCTTGGTTCAATCTCTTATCAGAACCCAAACCATTAATCAAAGTACAATACACATGGGGACTAGGTCTCACACCCTTAGCTTTCATCTCATGGTACAACCCAATGGTTTCATCGAATTTCTTAGCCTTGCAATACGCATTAATGATTATCCCATACGCAACAACATCAATCTGAAACCCTTTATCCTCCATCTCCCTACACACCTCATTGAGTTTGATCAAGTTCTGCAGCTGACTCCACCCTTCTAGCAAAATGGTGTAGGACTTGATATCGGGTTCCAACCCTAACTTCCGCATTTTATCAAACACCTCGTGGGCCTTCTCAACACACTTGGATTTACACAACACATCGATCAACCTATTGAAATCCGACACGTTCGGCTTCATACCGTAACGCTCCATCTTCTCGAACGTCTCGGTTGCTTCCTTGGCCTTCCCTGCTCGCGCGTATCGCCTAGCAACGAGGGCAAAAGTGTCAGAAGTCAGCAACTTTTGTTGTTTCATGTCGTTGACAAAAGTCCAAATCACTTTGAACTGTCTGATCTTACCCAGTGCTTCGATCAACGCGTGGAAGGTCTCTGTGGTGTGTTTGAATTCGCTTTGCCTCTCGGCCCAACGGAAGAACGAAAGCGCGAGGATACCAGCATTGCTGAGTTTAGTCAAGACCTCGAGGACCAGCTCCGGCGAGGGATTCACAGGAAGGGTGGCAAGAGAGGCGGCGACGGTGGAGTCGCGGCTGTTGGATAAGATTCTGCAGATTGTTTCGGCGTCGGGGGTGGACCTAGGTTGGGCAGTGTGGAAGGCCAATGTGGAGTTTTTTGGAGACCCATAGGGAATTTGGATTGTTGGTATGGAGTAATGGTGAAATTTGGAAGTTGACGAAGGTGGAAGGGATGTTGAAGAAGATTCTTTGAGGGGAAGGAGGAGATTCGAGACGAGGAACCTTTTGGATGATCGAAAAAGTGCCATGGAATGTAACACTGACAGGGGGCATGAACATCTACGCAGCTCTCAAACTAAAACTTTCATCATTCACTGAATAGCAGTTAAAACTTCCAAAGTTTTATAGTTTCTAATAATTTCAAACAATAGATAAATTATAGAAAATAATTTTGTTGATAAGTGTTTCTCTTATCAAAGATTAATTGAAAATATTTTTCTTGTCTGCAAAATGATACAATATGTTAGTTCATATTCACCAGAGTAGAGTAAATATTAACATTTTAAATTAAAATAATAAAATTAGTTTTAGATAAGTAATTCAATTAAGTCATATAGGTATTAATTTATATAAAAATAGAGTAATTACATATACTTTACTTTTATTTTTTTAATATATTGTTAACAATTATTTTTAATATTATTCTTAATTTGTAAATAGTTTGTTATGAAAGTGGTGTTGAAAGTGTTTTTCCACTTCTTGGGTTACAATATACAAATCTGGTCACCAACTGTTTGATCAAATGACACAATGAATAGGGTTAAATTTTAGCTACATAAAATAGGCACTTTCGTGGCTAAATTTTAGGTTAGGCTTTGTAATACGGTTCATAATGCCTCCTAAACTTGTGTTTGGTTTTGTATCTTTGCATGATGTAAGTAGGTAAACTAGTGTATTGTAATATGAATATAATTTAAAGGAGATGGTTGCTATTATATTGTTGTCAATGGTAGGAATTGTATCCTTCATCGTTTATCTAGCATGGGAGATATAAATAAAAACAGAGATGAAGCTGTCAACGAAGGCATTTTGGCCGTGTATGATGACATAGGTAGTGATGCGGATGTACAACAATGTGATGGTCCTCTCAAAGGTGTAGACCAAGAAATGATAGGTGTACATGATAACATACCCAGTAATGCAGATGTCACAAGTTTACATGAAGAAGTGTTGGTTGGCCATGATGAAGGATCTCCTGACGCAGATGTCAGGACTACAACAGAATACGACGGTTCTGTTCCATGTGTAGGAATGTCCTTTGAAACTGCAGATGCAGTTAAGTCATTTTATCGACAATATGCCATACAAAAAGGATTTGGCATCAAAACAAGGAGTTCAAAGAAGGGGCCCGATAACCAATTGTGGTACTTCATGTTGGTGTGTGCAAGGGCAGGTAAGTATGTTTCTGCTACACCTACTGAAATTAGAACCCAACCTGTTAGAAAAGTAGGTTGAGATCAAGAGGGGGTGAATTGATCTTTAAAAGTTTTTCGCAAATAACAGATTATCTAATTCAAAAATTAAGATTTCAGATCTGTTCTTGAATTACAATGCAATCAATCAATATAAATGTAGCGACAGAATTAAAATAGAGAAAGGTTAAGAAAGATATCACCGGTGTTTTATACTGGTTCACCCAATACCAGGGCTACGTCCAGTCTCCAGCCAAATTCCAGCTGGGTTCCACTAGATCAAATGTTTTACAGATTTACAATCTTACACTTAATCTACCACAAGAACCAAATTCCAGTTCCTGCAAACAACCTCTCACCAAGAACCAAATTCCAGTTCTTGATAACCTCTACAACCAAGTTCCAGCTGCAGAGAAACCAGTGCCCGAATTCCAGGCACTAAACAATACAAAAGAAATGTAAAGAAATGAAAAAGAAGAAACTAGAATGCTCAAACCAGTTTATGCAATTCTGCTGTAAGTGTTTCTTCTTCAAAAGAAATCAAGTTGCCTCAAGAAAGATTTTCAAAGAACTTCTCAAAAATTGACGCGAATCTTTCTTGAAAATAGTGATAAAGTTTGCTTGATTGATTCCTCAAGGATGTATAAAAACTGATGTTCAATGTATGTTAAAAAAGTTCAAGCCAAACTGTTTTTATAGAAGATTTTCAAAATTGTTGGTTTAATTAATCTGTTAAAAAATTCTTTTAATCTGTTAAAAGTGCAGTTTTAATCTGTTAAAACTTCTTTTAATCCATTAATACGTTCTTGATTCTTTAACAGATTTGTTTTAACTGATACGACAACGTTTATATCAATTAAAACACTTTACAAAAACTTCTAAGTTGATTTAATCGATTTTTTCGCAATTCAATCGATTGAAATACTGCAAAACTTCCTTGTAAAACTTTTCAAGTTATTTTAACTGATAAAAATAAGTTTTAATCGATTAAAACGCTGTGTAGAAATTTTCCTTAATCGATTGAAACGAGATTTAATCGATTGTAAACGTTCTGATCGGTCATAACTCGATTATGATCGATCATAACTGATTCTGATCGGTCATAATTTCATTCTGAACGATCATATCTATTTCTGATCGGTCATAATTGTATTCTGATCGATCATCCTGAACTCCAAGTGGTTTTAATCGATTCAAATCAAGTTGTATCGATTAAAATACTGTAAAAACACTTCTCTGAACATTCTAAGTGATTTTAATCGTTTATTTCAAAACTGTATCAGTTAAAAACTTGTTTAAGAAAGCTTTTGTCAAAATACTTTGTTTTTAATTGTTTAAAACATTTTTAGAGGCATTTTGCAAAATCTTTTAAGTGAAGAAACCTCATGCAGCAGAAAAGATAAAATGATTATACCTAAGCATAGCTGAAGACACACTAATTCTTCTACTCTTTTATCTTAGTGACTTTTGTCCACTGCAAAGTTGCTTTTGACTTCATCTTTGACTTCATCAAATCAATGAGATCTTTGCCAAAGTATTTCAATAAGATCTTCATCACTTTCAGTCTCCCCCTATTTGATGAAGACAAATACCACTTTTGAAAAAAAAACTCTGCAAAAGAAGTCACTTGATAATACAGATTAGTGAGTAATAAAAAATGAATTATCTTCCTAATTCTCCCCCTAAATTATTGCTCCCCCTAAATTAAGAGTTATTTCTCCCTTTAAATTGATCAAAAGTAAAAGCAACTATTTATCCCCCTTTTGACTTCATCAAAAAATAGGGAATAGAAGAGAAACAATGCATAGGTATGTATTGAAAAGATTTTGAAAATAGAAAAAAATGAAAAATACGATACTTTACTCATGTAAAGATCAATCAAAGTTGATTCAAACTTATCTT